TGTCAAAACTGCCCTACTGGAAAGTTTGGAGAAGGTACAGGATGTTCTGTCAAACTACTCGCTTGCCACGCTTTCTTGTCACAGACTGACCCAGCACAGGCTGATGACAGACAGGCTGTGGTGGCAGTGAGCATTTGTGCATCATGGGCCATAGCCATCAGGGCTCATAACCCCAGTTGCTAAATCCATGATCGGTGAGCTCTGCATGTTTACTTTGATAACCAAGTTCATTGAAGGGTTACTGTTAAGGCATGACCTCCATGTCTTCATGTAGAAATCAGAAAGCTTCCATCATCTTGTCACTTAAGATCAGTAGTGATGTCGGGCGCGGTGGCTCATGCCTGTGATCCCAGCAGTTTGGGAGGCTGAGGTGGGCGGATCATCCGAGGTCAGGATTTCGAGACCAGCCTGACCAACTTGAAGAAACCCCGTCTCTACTAAAAATACAAAATTAGCCGGGCGTGGTGGTGTGCATGCCTGTAATCCCAGCTACTCTGGAGGCTGAGGCAGGAGAATCACTTGGAGGTTGAAATGAGCCAAGATCATGCCATTGTACTCCGGCCTGGCCAACAAGAGTGAAACTCTGTCTCAAAAAGAGAAAAAAAAAAAGATGAGTAGTGATGTATGAGCAAGGCTGGCGAGCTGAAAGGCTTGCCTTTGAAGCCCATCCCTGGACTGGCATGTTGATCCTCACTAGGGGATTTATGGTAAAGTACATCTGCTCCAGGGACCTCACTAAGGTCTCTGTGCAAACTGTTTCATGTCCTTGCCCCAAAAGATTCTTCTGAGAAGAATGGAGAACCCTCTGTATTTGGGCATTTTACTGGTAATCCATCTCAGTGTACACGTTTGAATGACACAAGGGCAAGTCCTCCGTGAGCGCAGAGGAGCTGGCGCAGATAAGCGCGGAGCTACAGAGTCTCCAGATGGAGGATCCTAAAAGAAGCAGACAGACTCTAATTCTGTAGACATCTGAGAAAAGTTGACATGTGTGTGTAGCTTCAGGCGTCTTTCAGGGACCAGAGAGGACTGTGGTGTGTTGTAACTGGTACCTGGCAGGGTCAGCTTGCCTTTGTCCCCACTGTTTGTTTTTTCCTCAGAGATGGCCTTAAGATTCTCCAGCTCTAACCGTAGCACACGGTGTATGCCTGTGAACCACCTGAATCTATCTGTTGCTGAGGAGGAAACTGGGGCAGAGAACCAGAGCAGCCACCTTTCCATATCGGAAGTGTCCGGGTGGAGGCTGTCCCGCAGCTGCCCAAGAGGGCTTCTTGCCTGGGTGGAAGGCCTGGACTTGGGTTTTACTCTCTGCTTTAAGACAGCCACACTTTTTCAAGTGAATGTACGTGCGAGTTGGATAAATTGTAAAACTCTAGCTTCAGGCTTTTTTTATTTATATAAATTGAAAACCGAGATGATGTAGTGTTTTTCTCTTCTGAATGTACTATTTCTGTGGCTATTTTTTTGCATCAGTCAGCTTAGGTGAGTGTGGACCTTAGTCTGTGGATTATGCGGTCAACGGATACACATTTTCGTTTTGGGATGGCTTCTGAAGACAGAGGAAGAAAGATGACTAGGCAGTCCATGAGATGGGAGCTAGAGTCGGGTCCTGAGGGAGCAAGGACTTTGCGCCCGGCAGCCTTGGGGCCGTCTCTCTCCTGCCGTGTCCCAGCTGTGAGACCTTCTGTGGATTAAGTGCCGGGAGTCTCACTGTCTGCTTGTCATGTGGAGAGGACGCCTCTCCTCAGGTTGCTGCAAGAGTCGGCTGAGACGCCACATGATGTCAAGTGCCTGACACGCTGGTGATAGCTGCCTTCCGCAGGACCCCCAGGCCTGATCACTTTGGGTGACGCTTCCTTATGTGATTGAGCAGGGTTCCCATGGGCCTGGCTTTAAACTCTTAGGGCTCTGTGAACTGGGGAACAGGTGCTCCGGAGTCGTCTCTGTTCAAAGCCACGAGATACTTACTGACTGGATAGAAATTAAGGCCCACTTACCATTTGGGAAAGTCAGTCGTCAAATGTTTTTGACATGTGCGATGCACTCATTAGCACTTAAGGAAGAGAGAGGACCCTTAGAGGACCCTTAGGCTTACTGTGAACAGACCAGGCCAGTTCCGCTTATTTTATTACACTGGTGCAAAAGTAATCACGGTTTTTCCCATTAGTGGCTAAAACCTCCTTTAGCTGACAGCAGGCATTGGAGTTTCATAAAGAGAGAGGTTTCCTGAATCCCTAAGCTTAAACCACGTTTGGCAAGATAATGCGTTAACCATATTTCTTGGTAGTATTTTATGTGCAACCAGAAGTTTTCAGGTTACTCGTCAATTTGTTTCATTAGTTTTTGGAGCTCCATTAGCAAACAGAGACATTCTCAACATTTGTGAAGCAGTGAGAGTCACGTTTAAACATCAGAATTTATTTCTTGAAGTTGTATTGTGTGTTTAATGGAAATGTGGGAAAATGCAAGTTACTGTCATTTCAAAATACGTAAAAGTAACTTGTTTTTCTCAATACTTGTTTACTTGGATAGAGACCACTTTTATATCAATGCTTTGATATAAAAGCGTTAGTTTTCTTGCAAAGATGCGTTTATTTTTATGTGATGCCATGGCCAAGAATGCAGAAGCAGGATGAGAATCTCTGCGGTGAAACTGACTTTCTGACTTTGGTGTATGAAAGATGAGACCTGCCGTTGCTCCTGCAGGAGTCAGATTTTCAACGAATTCATCCTTCGAGTCCATCATGGCCTTTAAAATAGGCACGTTTCTGTGGTGTGGGAGTGGGGCTACCCCGCATTAGGCAGCTCTCGCCAGCCAGTCGTTGTGTGGGCTGCACTTTGTTGCGAAGGAGCAGGACTGGGTTGCTGGCCCTCTCTGGCCTGTCTCCATGCCCTGCCAAGCCTGTGCAGTGGCCCGTGCCGATTAAACTCCTTACGTCCCAGGAGTTGGTTATAAGCATACTTATTTCTGGGGTTAGAAAGACCCACTGAATTCAACAAGTAACTCAAAAATGGTCTTGTATTTCCTGGTAATAAACAATATGGTTAATATCATTAGTTGGTTCCTGTGATTAAAATCAGGAATTCACCTGGTAATGAATAGATGAGAAAGATAAAGAGTCATAGGGTTCGACTCAGATGTGAGTTCCAACCTCACAAATACATTCCCAGAAGAGTGGCCCACAGACTGCAGGCTCCCGTAGCGCTGTGAAACTGTCAGTGAGACCTCCGTTGCATAAACAAGCCAGCCACCATCACCTAGCCTGTCCCAGTGTGGCTGTGAGGGTGCCCTTCCCTGGGAGGCAGGATCTTTCTTGTTCATGAGACTGGGGTTGGCTAGCACCAGGAGAGCCGTGAGAAGATCTTTTTCAATATTTGAAGAACAAAAGGATCTCCTGGGGCAGATATTTTTTATTTTTCTCAAAATGACCTGATGGAATTTCAGCACAAATTGAATAGTAATAAATAAAATGTAAACTTCTTCCCAAAACTCCGTTGACTTATTCCACATGTTCTGCCTATTTTGAAATTCCAAAACCACATAATTTTTTTTTTTACTGTACCCTTTGATGAAAGCCCTCTGGGACACTTGCCGCTCAAGGCCCAATTGTCCAATGATACCTGATGATACCGATTCTGCTGGAACTGCAAATGGGATGTTATCTTGGATTCCACTGAGCTGGTTTTTGAGGACCACTGTGAATCGGTGGTTTGTAATTCAGTTGCCTGCACAAGCAGAACCTTGCCAGTCAAGTTGAAGATTAATGGTAGAATCCTGTTTTGGAGATTGCTTTATTCAGAAGCCTTTTCTCACCCTCCCACCATGAAAGCATGGAACACCAGACTCTTCCTATGGGAGTAAATTAGTGTGAAGGAAGAAGCCGGGTGACTGAGAACCTGTGTAGCCTGGCTATTTAATGACTTGGCTACTTCCGGAGTCTGTGGGCAGAGTTGCTGCAGACATCGACTTCACTCCGATCATCTTCCCAGAGTCTTCAAGCTGAAGGCGCTCCTCGCCTCACAGGCGCGTCTCCTCGCCTCACTGTAGCCTCAACCCAAATGGTGATCCCAGCATTTCGTTCTTGATCCCAGATTCTCCCCTTGGGAATTGCCTCTTGCTTCCCAAGCTTTAGAGCAAAATGTCCTTTTAGAGACATAACTTTTTTTTCATGTTTTTTTTTCTTATAGTAGATTATTACCTGACAATGCAGTATAGTCGTTTAAAATTAAAATGTAAGCCTCACCTAATCCCAGCTATTATGTGTGAGTAACTCCTCACATTTAAAAATAGCAAAGACACAGTCCTGAGTATCTAGTTTTTGTTGGGGAAAGATGGGGCATTTCCCTGCTCCCCATCCCCAGCAGAGGGAAAGAAACCCCCAGGGTGGCCCGTGCCTCTGCGGGGAGGCTGAGACACGAGCAGCCTCTCTCTGCACTCCCTTTGGGAGCAGCTGCCAAAGCGGCCACGCTCTGCCTTTCGGGGAGAAAGGATGCCCCCGGCAAGCCAGGGTCTAGGGTGGAATGCGGCTCCTGTCCTCATGGACGGTTAACCTATCCAGGTGGCATCTAAGTTTCTAGATCGGCACACAGAGGCCGGCGTAGTCCACCGTGAAGCTGACATCTATGTCTAACAAAAGCCGACATCCATGTCTTCCAAACTCTGGAACGCCAGTGTCTCTGTTTTCATGGGAGACTCTGGGAGCTTAGTCACCACAACACTTGTTTCTAGGGAGATGTTTACTCAGGATTCCGTGCAGGCGGATGCCGGCTCCCTTCGGACATTAGCTTCTGCCTGTCATCTCCCACCCCACCTAGTACTCAGCCGGAGTGCGTGGCCACCTTGCTGCAGGCCTGCAGTTCAGGCCGGCCGGGAGGGAGGGGCCGAAGGGAGCCTGGCACTTGGTCTTGTCTCCTAAGTGCTGGGTGTGAGTGCCTCCCGGGTGCGGCGCGGGATGAACGGTTGATGCTGACCTGCCTTTTAACTCCTCTCCCCACCGTAGGGCGACGCCGGTTCCTCCGCTCCAGATGAGAACGAAAGCACGACAACCAGCGCCTTCACCATCCAGGAGTACTTTGCCCAGCGGATGGCAGCACTAAAGAACAAGCCCCGGGTCCCAGATTCAGGGCCCGACCTTTCCGAGGCTCAGGTAGACAGAAGAAAGATGAAGAAAAGAAACAAAGAGGCAGCAGGTAAGGACGCGAAGAGTTCCCCGAAGCCTAAGGCCAAGAGGCCTACGGAGGAAGATCCCAAGAGGGACGGGGCCCAGGAGCGGGGGGCCCAGAAGAAGAGTGCGGGGGAGCAGCTCAGAGGCCCCTGCTGGGACCAGGGTTCCGAGACCTCTGCTCAGGATGCTGGGGACTGTGCGCAGCCGCCTGAGGGCCTAGACTTCACCCTGAAGCCCAAAAGGAGGAGAGGGAAGAAAAAGCTGGAAAAGCCGGTAGAGATAGCAGAGGATGCTATGCCAGAAGAAACGCCAGTGAAAAGGAAGAAAAAGAAGAAAGATTTCAAATGAATCTCCCCAGCCGGGGCCTCCCGACCACTCAGCTGTCAGGGCACTGCCAGGGGAGACACTCTGGCCTGAAGTCAGAGCAGAGTTCACCCCGGAGAGCCTGGGTGCATCTTGTGACATGCCCATGGGCAGCCAAGTCCCGCCCTCTCGCCACCTTTCCCCCAAGTGAGGTTCCCAGGAGGACCCTTTTAATGTTCTAAATCATGGCTCTCAGAAACAACTAAATTTTTTATAAACTCTGAGCCCTTCAGCAATAGTGTTTAATTATATTCATACGAATACATGCATTCATGTAAGTGCACACGTGTGTGTGTGTGTGTGTGTGTGTGTGTGTGTGTGTGTGTGTCAGTCACCGTCTCTGTTTGCTCTTGGTTCCCTTCAATAACCATGAATGGTGCTTTCTTCTGAAAGAGTCTAATTAAAGGATTAAGAGGCAATAGCTTGGATTCAGATTGTTCTTTTTGTTCTGTAGCCAACCAACATTTTTGCCAAGTAGAAATTATATGATTACATTCCCGAATCAGAGAGGTGTTGTGGTTTTGAAGGCAAACGTTGTAATGCCCTGCACTGAGCAGTGGAGCCGACGGTTCTAGGGTCTCCCCCGCCACTGCAAAGCTTCAGCGGTGAACAGGCTCGGGGCCAGTGTCGTCTCTTGGCTCTCACAGGAGGACTCTTGCCATTCCTCTGCCAAGATTGGGTGTTCTCATACTTTTCCCTTTGGGGGTCCCTCAGGAAAAATCACCTGTACTGATTTATCTGTCACATGGTTGTAAATAGTTACTTCTTTGTCATGATCAGGAGGTCGTCAGAAGGCTCAAGAAACCAAGAGGCTAAGGGCATGAAGCTAAAGTCAGTCTCCAGATTGGGACTGTCTTATGAAAGTCCTTAGAGCAAAGGACACCTTTCAGCCCGCTCCCAGCAGTGGCGTCTCGGCACCATGTTTGCGCCACCCTCGTCTGCCACGCCCTGGCCGTCCCCCTGTGTGCCAGCTGAACTCTGCCCAGGGGTTCACTCAGATGCCTGCAGACCCTTCACACCGTCCCTGGGACACACGAGAAGGAAATGCTCAGCCGAGGCTCTGGAGTCCAGCCCTGTGCCTTCCCAGCCCTGGGTCCGCTGCTCCGCCCTGTGCGCCGCCTTCATCTCCTCCTGCTTTTTCTTTTCATCCACGTAGGCGTTCCTTCTCTCTTTCTCAGACTCCTCTCCTAGGTCCCAGTTTCCCTGCACCCCCCTTCCACACGCCACGTGTCCCCAGCCTGCCGTGGAGGCCTTGAGGCTGCCTGGCCCTGCTTCAGGCACACGTGGCCGAGAGCCCAGGAGGTGTGCCCTGCTCCATTTGATATAGAGATTGTGGCTAGTGACGGGAACTCAAACCCCCCAATTCTGTGATCCTTTGCCCTTGATTTTAACTCTCAAGGTCACACATGAGGTAGGAAGCATGGTCCTGACATTCTTGAAATGTAGAGAAAATAACGTGAAGGACATTTGGCTTTAGTCTCTAAGGATACTGGGCAGTGCTGTTTGTTTAAAAAGACACACACACAGAGAGAGAAAAGATTCTTAGGAATATGGAGCCTGAGGACTCATCTCTGAGTTTTCATGTCCCCCAGAGTTTAGAATCCCAGGCTAATAAAGCCTCAGAGGTTTCTGAAGTCACTTTCTCCACAGAGGGCACATGCCCAAGTTTTCCCTGCCTGTCCCATCTTGCCTGTGAAGCCAGAGATCCAGAGAGAAGTGGGAATGCATGAGATCCAAGGGGAGCTAACTTTCAAAAATAAATGCATGCTGGTTGGATTTTTTTTTTTTTTTTTTTTTTTTTTTTTTTTGCCTTTTGTTTTAACTTCCTTTACCAGTAATAATTAGAGCCCAGAGAACATGCCCAATTGTGTGCAGGCGTATTTAGGAGGCATGTGAGATGCATTTAGGTCAGACCTGGGTGCAGGGGCTGGGTGGGAAGACCAGAGGAGGGAGGTGCGCATGGGAGCTGGTAGTTCCTGGAGTTAGGAAGTCCAAGGCAGCCAAACCAGAAGGCTTCATGTGCAACTGTTGGTTTCTCGGGGTTTTTTGGTTTTTGTTTTTTTCCAGAGATAGGGTCTCTTTCTGTTGCCCAGGCTGGAGTGCAGGGGCCTGATCAAAGCTCACTGCCTCCTTGAACTCCTGGGCTCAAGCAGTCCTCCTGCCTCCGCCTCCCGAGTAGCTGGGACTGCAGGTATGTGCCACCACACCTGAGTAATGTTCTTACTTTTTCTTTTTCTTTTTTTCTTTTTTTTTTTTTTTTTTTTTTTTTTTTTTGAGACGGAGTTTCGCCCTTGTTTCCCAGGCTGGAGTGCAATGGCGTGATCTCGGCTCACCACAACCTCCGCCTCCTGGGCTCAGGCAGTTCTCCTGCCTCAGCCTCCTGAGTAGCTGGGATTACAGGCACGTGCCACCACGCCCAGCTAATTTTTTGCACTTTTAGTAGAGACCGGGTTTCACCATGTTGACCAGAATGGTCTCGATCTCTCGACCTCGTGATCCACCCGCCTCAGCCTCCCAAAGTGCTGGGATTACAGGCTTGAGCCACCGCACCCGGCTTGTTCTTACTTTTTCTAGAGACACGGTCTTGGTGTGTTGCCCAGGCTGGACTTGAACTTCTGGCCTTCAGTGATCCTCCCGCTTTAGCTTCCAAAAATGCTGGGATTACAAATGTGAGCTACTACACTTGGCCAACATGCAACTTTTATTGAGAGAATGTAGAATGTGATGAGGATGGTTTTCAAGGGCTGGAGAAAGGCATCCTGAATGATTTTTTTTTTTTTTTTTTTTTTTTTGAGATGTATTCTCAGTCTGTGGCCCAGGTTGGAGTGCAGTGGTTTGATCTCAGCTCACTGCAACCTCTGCCTCCTGGATTCAAGCGATTCTCCTGCCTCAGCCTCCCGAGTAGATGGGACTACAGGCACGCGCCACCGTGCTCGGCTAATTTTTTTGGATGCTTAGTAGAGATGGGGTTTCACCTTGTTGGCCAAACTGGTCTCGAACTCCTGACCTCAGATGATCTGCCCACCTCGGCCTCCCAAAGTGCTGGGATTACAGGCGTGAGCCACCGCGCCCGGCTCTCAGCCTTTTTATAACTAGACTGATGCTGCTCCCAGAGGCTCGGTGATGCCCTAGCCTCTACCATAGTCACAAACCTGCCCCTTTTCCTCTATCCTTGTCACAGCCAGTTCCGCCTGCAGGGTTCCCTATCACAGATGCCCTTTGTGTGTCCTTGCAACTCTTAACTGGGAAGGGACTTGAAAGTAGCAGGCAAACTGCGAAGAGTTTCACAGTTAATTCGAGTTGGTATGATTTGGGTGAGCCATAGAAAATACTTTCAGGTATGCTGCACATGAGACATTCTCAGTGAATTTTCTTTTCCAACTTGGTCAAGAGGTGGGTGGGAAATTGGGTGAGTCAGTGTCTTAAAACCTGTTTGCAAGTCTGTGAAAAAGAATGTTTTCAATCTGTAGAAAGTACTGATGCTTTTGAGAGATGAGATCCCAATGAGCATCTCTTTCCTAGCACAGGCCAGCCCTCTGCCTCCCTCCTCCTCCACCTGTTCACTGACTGGCAGGCACATGCTGAGACCTGTTTATTGAACCTGTTTATGGAGAAGCAACAGCATCAGAGCAGTCTGTCTGGGTGATCTCAGCCCTTGGATCAGCAGGCCGCAGCTGTACTTAGATTGGCGTAAGAACCTCCTTGCCACCGCCCTGTTTATCTCGCCACTGCGTTTCAGAGTCTGTTGTGCCGGCGGGCAGGGCAGGAGGTCAGACGGGGTGCTCAGTGTGTGATTTTACAGTGCCTGATTATTAATGAGCAAATTAGTACCGTGTCCTAGTAAAGTCGATGACTAAACGCCTCGCATAAAAGTGCCCAATCTATTTAGGAAATAGTGAATATACTGAAATGACATACACAAAGCCGTCATGGAACCAGTAAGAGGGAGGAATAGCCAGAGAAGGATGGCAGGTAAAGAAGAGTGGGTGAGGCCGGGCCTCACCTGGTGTGGATGGGTGGGTAGGTGGCGGGTGGGTAGGGGCCGGTGCGGGCTTCGAGAGGCGCACTTCCTCCCACCTCTGCTGACCTGTCTTGCAGGCATTAGCAGTGAACTTCTAAGGAAAGCAGTGAAGTCTTTAGCTGGGGGGAGAATTGCGTAATCAGTTATAGCTGAAATTTTCTGTTTGTATTTTCTATGTTGAGTTTCCTTAGAAAAAGGTGCGTGGGTACTGAAAGCAGTTATTTGTTCTGAAAACATTTATTGAACACTGACTTTGGGCTCCAGGCCAGTTGACAGCGGAGTGGCTGACTCATGACAGAGCCTACCCACATGCAAGCTCTACCAATTTGTGTCATTTAGAATGGACTGCCGTGGCCTCTATTAATCCCAATACATTTATGCCCAGGACGCAGTCTCTTCTGCGTGGCTCGCCAGTGTCCTGTCTCCTTAGGCATTCGTGCATGACCTCTGAGAAGTTCTTCGCCAGCTCATTTGACTTGAACCTGAGGAGGACCCTTCTACACTTAACAACCTTTCTAACTGATAAAGTCGCAGAATTCTAGTATGTGCTTTCTTCCACACAGAATGCATTAGAAATGTGTTTTGCCTAAGCGCACAGCTCTTCACAGGTCAGTCTGAAGATAAAGCCCAGCTTTCTCCCGCCCCTCCTGCCACCAGAAGATCTACTGAGTGTGCAGATGGGCTGGAGGGGGAATGGGAGAGGAGAGGTGGCCTCCCGGGAGCCTCCCTCCACCCACTAACTGGGAACACCCCTCCAACCCGGATGGGACAAAAACAGGTATCAGCAAACATTTGTTACATGGAAAACTGCTGAAGGTGAACTCCAACTCCAGCCTTCCCACCTTGGAGAGTCAAGGTCGTGAGCCATCCAGAGTGACCCCAGCGCCTTGACAGAAGGAAGCACCCTGTCCTTCACCTCTGTGAGGCACATGGCTGCCTCTCAGACCATTGAGTCTCCTCCTCCAACGGTCTCAGCTCCGTGCAGCTAAGTCTCCGCCCTCCCTAAATACTCCTTAGTCTTCTTCCTCCTGCGGTCGGCTGAGCGTGGGAAGATGGGAAGCCCCTGAGCGTTTCCGAGCTGTGAGTTCTGTCCTCTCACTGTCCGTTCTCTGGGTAACTGCACGGCCGGCGTGTCTCCTGCTTTCTGTGTGATTCCTAGGTGGGCATCTCTGTCCCCACTAGTCTCAGGCTTTCGTCCTGCGTCTCCAGCTGACCGTCTAGAGGGCCTATCAGATTCAGTGGGTCTGAGACGAACCCATCCTCCCCAGGCGGCCTCTTGCCCCCCTCCCCCCGTTATCATGGGCGCCCCATGCTGCCGTTCATTCTCACCCCAACATCAAGTGGCCTTATCAGCAGTCCAACCTAATCAGGTGTCTGTCTGCACTGTACACTATGGAG